CCGGGGCTCGTGAGGGAAAAAGACTTAAAAGGCAGAGCAAACAGCAGGTGCAAAGGCCCTGAGATGGATGTGAGCTGGACACACATGCCAGGATCTCTGGGGTCCCTTTGTACCATCTAGGGCAAGGCACTTCACACTTCCCAGCCTCACTGGCTCTGTCCAGAGCAGGAGGGAGCCTCCAGGGCCACCCATGGGAGGACATGGGAGCTTCCTGTGGGTCCCACAGGTACCACCAAGCACCCAACCACCTGGCCGCCACATGACTCATGAGAATTTGAAGAGCCACGTGATCCTAGGAGAGGAGAAGCTGCTGGGACACTTTTTCCAGACCACCACGGGCTCCCATTATTGCCCCCAGCATGTGGAGGGGTCACAGAAGATCCCCAGCCCCCAAATGACACAGAGCAACCTACCGAAGGGCACCTGTGGTGAGGGTAGTGGCCCTTCCCCCCTAGAAAGCCCCTCCCGGTCACAGCTCTGCCCTGGTTGACAGCTGTGGCTCTGCCACCTAAGGCTTAATCCCACCCAGAATTGACTAGGCCCCCAACCCACCCCTGGGCTGCCCCACCCCTGGTAGCCTTGGCCCACCCTCCCCCTGTCCCCCATGGCACACCACCTACTTCCTGTCCCTTATCTTATCTTCCCTTACCTCCCGCAAACCCCTCCTCCTGTTGGACTCTAGCTCCTCAGGAGCCTGCCCTACCTGGTCTTGTCCCTAGTTCACCTGGACGGGCCTGCCCCACCCCCAGGCCGACCTTAGAGCTTGGCCTCTGAGCCCTCCCCTGCACCTCAGTCTGTCACATCACCGAGGCCTCGTCCTCTGCCCTCTCCTTGGCCACCCCCTTCCACATCTCCAGAGTTCGATTTTCTAACCATGAACCAGAAGATGCTGAAGCCGCACGGAAGAGCTAAAGCCCTGGTGACCGAAGAGTTGTTACAGAAGGTGAGACGGGGGAGGGGTCCAAATCAGTGTGGACTCCGAGTTGGTGTCAAGTCCACTAGGGTCACAGCCTGGTCAGGGTCACCCCTAGCTCACCGCCAGGGTCAGGTCAGCATCAATTCAGGGGTATCTTCATTTCACCAGCCAGAGTGAAATCTCAAGCTGAGGGGACTAACTTAGAGTCACCTGGGATCACGCCAGCCCTGGGGTCATTCCAGGGGCACCCCTGGTTTCTCTCCAGTACCTGGGTCAGTCAAGACTGGGGCCCCTTTTGCCCACCTCCCCCAGAAACCAGTCACCAGCCAAACCTGGCTGAGCCTGTTCCCACTCTTTGATGACCCCAGGGTGGTCCAGGGCCCACAGGGTGGCCAGAATAGGTGGATTCAACAGGCTGCCCTCCCAAACCATCCACCCTGACTTCACAGTGCAAATACAGCCACCTGGAGCCCCCGCTGGGTGGACAGCGCTTCCTGTCAACCAACTACCAGGTTGACTTTCCCTTCAAGTACCAAGGCCCCGTAGTACTGAAGATGATGAATTTCCAGGAAAGCCACGTGCCCCTGGGCACACCTCGCCAGCCGGGCTGCAGGCACAGGAAGGTAGATCCTCAGGCCCCACAGATGCCTATGTACCCATGCCCCAGCCAGTAGTAAATGTCACCTTGATGGCATCCTGTCCCATTCCATGAGTCGTCTGTTAAAGAGGATGCTTGGATGAGTGGGGGCCAGCGGAAGGAACCACACAGGAGAGAATGTCTCATGCATTCCATGCCCGACCAGACACATCGGCAAACCTTGGGGTTACTCTGAATGATGTGAGAGTATAGAGTCACAGTGTGTGACACAGGCATTGGGGTGGGGGTTGAGGATGCAGGCTCCTGACTCCTCCAGGTCCTGACTTCCCCAAACTTTATGGGGAGACTGGGGTTAATCTTGCTGGATCCCATTTCCTAGCAACTGATCTGCACCTGCCCAGAGCGTCTAGCTTGCCCCAGGACATAATTCTGTAAGCCTCTTTTCCTGGTGAGAGTCACTGTTACCTTAACCCCTGTGAGCCTCATCTGTAAAATGGAGCAAAAGAGCTAATCTCTTACAACTGACGGGAAGCTGCGCGGTGCTCTGGTGGGCCACATGACCAGCCCTTAGATCAGAGCAGCACCCTGGAAAAAAACAAAAAAAAGCCACGAGGACACAGTGAGGTCCCAGGAGGCAGGTGTGCAGCCAACCGAAAGTCAGAAGGAAAAAAGGTGGAGTCAGGCCCTAAAGCCCCCGAGTGACCAGTACCTTGGACAGCGCCCGACCTTTAAGGTCTGGGGTCTGGTGAAGAAGTTACTTCTACCTGGAAGAGCATGGGCCTTGGTGGCCAAGGCTGTTATAATCCTGTTTCAAAGAATGAACCTGGGGCCAGACCTCCAAAGGCCAAGGCGCCCCGTCCAACAGCCACAAGGAGCCAACCCTGAGCCTGGTCCGGTGCCCTTTCCCCCCGCGGCATCAGCTCTTCGAGGCCAGGCTCTCATTTGCACAGCAAGGGACCCTACAGGAACAGGATGGCCCTTCTGGCTGCACTCATAGATAGTCCCACACTGGCCACAAGAGGGTCTGCTGGCCACAGGACCCTTCTGTGCTTGCCTGCTCTGAAGACATTTTGCAAGACGCTGCTCCGAGTTGTGCTGTGAAAAATCTGGGTTCTCACTCTGGGCCCCACCGGCATCTTGGGTCAGATAATTCTTTGTTGGAGGCTGTCCCTGTGTATCACAGGGTGTCCTCCATCCATTAGTTGTTAATAGCGTACCCCCCCACACAACAGGTATTGCCAAATGTCCCCCATGGTCAGGTGTGGCGGAAATTGCCCTGGTTGGGAACCACGGCAACAGAACATCCTGTTCTGGTGAAGCTAGTCTGCCTTTTGACCACATAACTAGAACAGAAAGACTTTCCTTTCTGCTTTAGCTGCTAGGAAGCTCAGGTCTCTGTAGCTCCAGTTACAGGGCTGCTTGTGCTCCTGTCTAGTTCCAGGGATGGTTTCCAGCAGCCCAGAGGCCAGGTGAAAAACAATGGGTAGGATTTCAGCACAACTGGAAGCATTTCCTAGTCATGGAACTGAGCAGCCCGGGGTGGCTGGCCAAGGGAGAACAGGCCCATGACTGGAAACGTTCAATGAGCAGGGGAAAACACTACAGGATGATTCTGGGTGTATTTTTGAATTTACATCCATTCCTCTATTACATTTAGCACCCCACCACACACACACCAAGGCTTCTGGGCCAGGATGAATAAAATAAGATTGAATGTGGGAAAACCGATTAATTTTTAAAGGAAAACAATTTCATCAAGTGTACGCAGCACCTGGCAACAGAACTCAGACCTGTCATTTTCCTGCCTTGGACAGGTGGTTTCGAACTCTGAAATTCCTCATTTCCTCACCTGTGAAATGGGGACACACAATAGTTCCTCCTTGGTAGACAGAGGGATTACAAGAATTAAGTAAAATGTGGCTGTGCTTGGTACAGGGCCTGAATTATCTGACCCACAGCTCAACGAATGGCACCTAAAAATTGTCTTAAGTAAATTTTTTTATAAGGGACAGAAACCAAGCTCTAGCCAGTCCAAGCAAAAAAGAATTTTATTGACTTAGAAACAAGAATGTCTGGAATTGGGAGCTGGGAGTGCCTCGGTGCTAGGCTTGGCATGCAGCATGCGGATGCCCAGGGTTGCATTTCCAGCAGAAACGGAGGGGGGGGGGACAGGAGGAAAGAAGGAGGGAGGAAATAGAGAGGAAGGACAGAGGGAGGGAGAGAGATAAAGAGGGAAGGAAGAAGGAAAGAGGGAGGGAGGGAGGAAAGGAAAAAACCAAAACAAGGTCTGGAATTGGGTCTAACATGGGGTATGCTGGTTCCCCATCTGGACTGTCTTCCTCACCATCTTCCAATCCTATTTCCCTCCAAATGATGGAAAAGAGGATGAAGATAGCACCAAAGGAAGGAGCTACCTCCCCTTCTCCCAGTAGAATTTAAGAAACACGCTGATTGGTCCATTTGAGTCACATGCTCAGCCATGAATCAATCACTATGCTCAGAGGGATGGTGTACTAGGACTGGTTGGCCCACTTGAGTAGGCCACTCTGAAATTTTTGGTTCCCCAAACTTTACCCTGAGACTGGGGTTAACCTTGCTGGACCCCATTTCCTAGCAACTGATCTGCGCCTGCCCAGAGCATCTAGCGTGCCCCAGGGCATAATTCTGCAAACCTTCTCTTCCTAGAGAGAGTCATTGTTTCCTTTTGTGGAAAGAGAGTAGAAGGTGTTTGGGAGTGACCTAGAGACAACCAGTGTCCCCCAGCTATCTATGGTCCCAGTTTTACCTCCCACAGCATTACCTGTCCACTCTTTCAACTTGGAGCAGAGAACTTACTTTTAATAATCAAAATGGAGCAGATATCAGCTTTTGCTTCATAAGAAACCTAAAAAAAAAGCTTCCAAGACCTTGCTGAAGGCTGCATGAAAGCTCCCACAGATCCCAACATCCTGATATTTTTGTTAAAAGTCCCTCAATCCACAGTCTCAGGAGACATGTGATCGGAGTTTCAAGATAAAATAGGCTACAATTTAATTAGCTGTTTTTCTTCCACATAACAGATTTCTGAGGAATGTTCTTCTACGAGGCTGTCATATCCACCCAGACAGTCTGTGTACTGCACAAGCCTAGGGAGCCCTGTTCACTTTAGAATCCATGCAGGTGGTGGCCCGGCTTTGCTTAGCCAGATCCACATTTTAAGTTATTTTTCGTTATTTTTCTCAACAGATGAATGAAAGGGATTTCTCTAAAACCAGTTCAAAACCCTGGAAATTTGTTTAGATTAGAAAGAAGGCTTCGGGCTTCAGGCACAAATCTAGCCAGAGCTCTCTCCTGGTCTAACCTCTACATTCTGGTGTATATTGGCCTCATTTCCCAGGCTGATCTGAACAACCGAGGATGTGACTGCAGACATGATGAGTCCCTATAGCTCATGATCCCCGATGAAGGGCAAAACCCACCAACTTCACATCAACATCCCAGACCTGGTTCTTGTGGCCATGTTCTTTGTTAGTACATGTAGATTCATATCAAACTGGGGAGCTTTAGACACAGATCCGACCACAAAAGCAAGGTGCTCAGATGAGCTGAGCAGAGAGAAACAACAGATGTCCTTACGCATGCTGTTGCTAATGAGATTATCCGGGGGGTGACAGGATCAGGCACCAGAGACCCCATCCGACTGAAGTCATCTCAGATCATTCAGATCCACTGTGAACTGGCAGGAAGGTCTCAGACCATAGTCCAGCACGGACTCACAAGGTTCAGGAAGGGACACACGCCTGGACATCTGGTTGGTTGCTCGGGGCTGTTGGTATTTGTGGGTGGGCGGTGTTCAACACACCAAAGATTCTCAGGAACCCACCTGTAGTCAAAAAAAAAAAAAAAAAAAAGTGATTTAGCTTCTTTAGTAAGAAGACAACCACCATGGGGAACCTTAGGGTCCCTCTAGAAGAGGGGAATTGGGATTTGGGGAGGATTTGGGCTTATGCTGGGTGGTTTTAAGGAAAGCTGAGGCGACTCCAGAATGTGCTGTGAGGAAGCAGAGAACAAATTCGTGGCAGAGGGTTCAGCGATTTTTAGCTCCGAGGTGGGAGGATTGAAAGAGTCTCTGCTGCCATTGGCAAGAAGCAGCAGCATTTGCATTAGTGGGGAGAGGAGGGTGGGCACTCATTTTTTTTTTTTGTGGTTGCAGTGTGTTCTGTCTCTATCTTGGTTTAGATATGATCACAGAGTGGCCTTGTCTGATCATTGCTTATATTCTGTGGCCGTTGTTTATGTTTAATAAAGAACATCATGGCCCGGCTGCCAGCTGCCAGGGGCTGTTTTTTCTCCTCACCCCCTCCCCAGCGGGGAACTGTGTTGCCAGGTAGTGTGTCCAGAGCCCTCCCCAGGCCTGGCTAAGGTTTCCCAGAAATCAGCAGCCAAGACAGGCACTTGGAGTCCCCCAGGGACAGCAGCAACTCGTCATCTGGGTAGGAGGCTGAAGACACTAAGGGAAAGAGAATATCTCAGACTCTGCTCCCCTGGGGGTGTAAAAGGGTGTTACCCAGAAAGAGTGAGGGGTTCCACTATCAAAAAAGAAAAAAAAATTGAGAAATTCTGGATTAAGTAAAGATAGACAAGTTTTTAAAACGCTGGGGCTTCTCAGAGGCCTCACCGCGCTCCTGTGCAAGGCGAGTCTGCCCCAGCCAGGTCACAGTTGCAGTCTTTTGAACAAAGGTAGTCGGAGACATGGACAGGAAGCCAAGACAGACACAGGCAGAAAGAGAAACAGAGACAGACACAAAGAGGGGGCAGAGGCAGAGAAAGTGAGGGGACGGGGCAACGCGATGAACAGAGGACAGGGATAAATAGATGAGGACCGAGAAAGGGACGAGGAGCTAGGGACTGGGAGAGGCAGGGCCAGAGAGAGAGACAGAGAGGGCCCGGGCCAGAGAAGGGCCGAGAGGGCCCGAGGACAGCCGCAGGGACGTAGCCAGAGCGGCGCGGGCGGGAGCGGCGCAGACAAAGGCGCGGTCGCGCGGCCGGGGCGGCC